AAGCTATGATGAATCACATATTCAAGCCTTACCTTCGCAAATTCATAATTGTATTTTTTTGATGATATTTTGATTTTTAGCAGGTCCATTGTGGAGCATGTCGAACACCTCCATTTGGCTTTACACTGTCTACAACAACACCTGTTTTTTGTCAAAGTCAGCAAGTGTGCCTTTGGAGTGGATCAAATTGAATATTTGGGACATGTAGTTTCCCATCAAGGAGTTTTTGCTGATCCTAAGAAGATTGAAGCCATGATGCAATGGCCAGAACCTAAGTCTCTCAAACAGCTTAGAGGATTTCTTGGCTTGACGGGATACTATCGACGATTTGTGAAAGGCTATGCTTCAATAGCCCTCCCTCTCACTGATTTGTTAAAAGGTGCTGGAAAGGGTGCTGGAAATTTTTGTTGGTCCATTACTGCAGCAGATGCTTTCAGGAAGCTCAAGGAGGTGATGACTTCTTGTCCTGTCCTAGCTCTCCCAGATTTTGCAGCTCCTTTTGTGGTAGAAACCGATGCTTCTAATTCTGGCATTAGAGCGGTTCTCTTACAACATGATAAGTCTCTCTCTTTCTTCAGCAAAAGACTGGGTCCTCGCATGTCTAATGCTTCTACATATGTGTGTGAGCTATATGCTATTGTGGCTGCCATCAAACTCTGGAGACAATACCTCCTTGGTTCTGAATTTACAATCAGAACTGATCATCAAAGCATCAAGGAAATTCTGAATCAAACGATCCAGACACCTGAGCAGCAAAAATATTTGAGCAAGTTAATGGGTTATACCTTCACCATCGAATACAAGACTGGTTGTTCAAATCGGGTGGCTGATGCCTTGTCTCGGGTTTATGAGAATGGATCAGTAAATGCCTTGCTGTCTCAACCTTCCTTTGATATATTGAATGCTGTTAGGCAACAAAATCTTGAAGATGCTACATTGTTGCAGTCGCATCAACAAGTTGGTGATGGGTCAATGACTGATTCTAGCATATCGGTTCGTGGGGGAATTTTATTCCACAAGAACAGGTATTTCTTGAGTTCTAATTCTCCTTTGATTCCAGCATTAATTAAGGAAGCTCATAGCTCCTTTGTTGGGGGTCATGCTGGTACTTTAAGAACATTCCTTCGTCTCTCCTCTACATTTTATTGGCCTTCAATGAGGCAAGATGTGAAGCAAGCTGTTCAGGAGTGTCCTATTTGTCAAAAAGTTAAACCAGAAACTTCTAAAGCTTCGGGTTTGCTCCAACCGTTGCCTGTTCCTAAAGGAGTGTTTGAGGAGCTGTCCATGGATTTTGTCTCTGGGTTGCCATCTTCAAAAGGATTCACCACAATTATGGTCGTAGTTGACAGGTTGTCCAAGTTTGCTTATTTTAGCTCACTCTCCTCTTCCTACACAGCAGCTACTATTGCAGCTTTATTTTGTGATCTAATTGTTCGTAACCATGGCTTTCCTAGATCAATTTTATCTGACCGTGATACTATATTTTTGAGTCATTTCTGGAAGCATCTTTTCTCCCTTAGTGGCACTACACTTCGCACTACTTCATCTTATCATCCTCAGTCCGATGGACAAACTGAGGTAACAAATAGATATTTGGAACAGTATCTGCGTTCCTTCTGCCATGATAGGCCCCATTCATGGGCTTCTTTTCTTTGCTGGGCTCAATTTCATTACAACTCTGCCACACATTCAGCAATTGGTATGACTCCTTACCAGGCTGTGTTCGGAAAGCCTCCTTTGATGATTCCTTTTTACCCTCGTGGGTTGGTTAAAATTGAGGCTATTGACTCCTTGCTGCAACAACGCAATGAGGTGTTGGCTGCATTAAAGTTGCAGCTGGAACGTGCTCGCAACAGGATGAAGGTTCAGTATGACAAGCATCATAAGGAGCGGTCCTTTGCAGTGGGTGATCAAGTTTGGGTTAAACTACAACCTTACCATCAGGTTTCAGTGGCTAGGAGATCGAATCACAAGCTGGCACGATGGTTTTTTGGGCCATTTCCAGTTTCAAGGGTGCTAGGACCTGTAGCTTATCAGCTACAACTTCCTTCAGGGTGCAAAATTCACCATGTATTCCATATTTCCTTACTCAAACCTTATGTGGGTTCTAGTTCATGGGTGGGAGCCTCTCTTCCAGCAGCTGCCATTGATAATCAACCCGTGCAGGAGCCTTTGACAGTACTTGGATCGCTTGTGGTCACTGATGGCACTTCTCAGCATCGTGAAGCCTTGGTGCAATGGTCTGAAGCTGTGCCAAAGGATGCATCTTGGGAGCCTATTGATGAGCTCAGTCGTTGCTATCCACACCTGAACCTTGAGGACAAGGTTCTTTGTCAAGGAGAGGGGAATGTTACAGTAAGAAGGTCAGTGAGAGAGAAGAAGATGTCCACTCGTTTAAGTGACTATGTAGCTTAAAACTTGTGATGAAGGACACGTGTGGGATGCAGCTTATGATGTAGGATACGTGTGTTTTACTGAGTTAGTTGTTTCTGTATTGTTCAGTAATTAGTATTCTGTTAATAGCCTTACGGGTAAGGGCCCATAGATACAAAGCAATACGTGTCATGCCAAAGTGAATGACAAGGTATAAAATACATGTAAACAGACGTTTCAGGTATTGTATAAAAATTCTGGAATTCTCTTTTCAATTTCCTCTGTTCTTCTTCTGCCATTAGGGTTCATTCCCTATTATAATCTTGTCACTCACATTATTGAATCATTTCAATGTCATCATTTTACTATTGGCGTCAATTTAACTAACGGAAAATGCTAACATGGGTCCATCATGTCAATTTGGAATTAAATTAAAACAAGTTTCATAAATAGAGAAATCATAAAATAAACCCATATTCAAAATCAGTGCCAACTTAGCGAGTGTGTATTTAAAGTTTTACAATTAAAAATCACAGTTTCTACATTCGTCTATAAGTTTGTTCTTTTAGTTTAGTTTCAAATGAACACATTAGATACACACAGTGGCGGACCCAGGAAAAAAGGTTCATGTCCGCACATTAAGTGACGGGGGTTCGGGGGCAGTGCTCTCGAAATTTTTTTTCATATAACTTTCACACGGAGGAGTTGACTTATCAATGTAAGAAAAACATATAGGATAAGTAGCAATTCTAGACAGATAGAAAAATAAATTAGTAAAAAATGATATATAAATAAAGGAAAAAAGTATGTGTCATTTTAAACGATATAAAATTGTATCATTCTAAGTGAGAGAAAGAGATAGATCATGGGGGAGAGAGTGGACAAAAAAAAAGTGTGGGTTCCACCTTTTTGTGAGAGTGAAATGACACAAGTTGTGTCATTTAAAGAACAAACATTTTTTCATAAATTAAATGTTACTAGTGAAGCAAGTATGACAGTGAAGCTATGTCCAATGATTGTTGAGTTGAGCGATTGAAGTGTGAAAACTCAGAAAATCAAGTCATCTTATCTCTTCAATTACTACATGAAAAACAATATTATGCCATAAAAATTAGTGACATTTAATATCAACACAAAAAAGTATTTAACATCTGTATTGCAAAATTAACATTGATTAATATAAATATTGAACAAGAGACACATAAGGACATATAACAAAAAAAAAAAAAAAACCTAAAATCTAAATTTCATGTCCGCAAGTGCGGACATGTACCCCTGTGTGGGTCCGCCGTTGTATACACATTAGCATTTTTTGTTAATAAAAATGATGTTGTCGGTAAAAAAATAGCATTTAAACAATTTAGTAACATTTGAAACAATTTCAGGGGTAACAACTAATTAGGATTACTATCAATATTACTATCAATCAATTTCACCGTTAGATCGATTATGTTGATCCAATGGTTATATTTATTTTCATCTTTGTATGGTTATGATTCCTCATATTTAATGTAAATATAGAAAATAATAACCATACAAAGGTGAGAATAAATATAAAGTATTAAATATAAAAAATCATGACCATACAAAGATAAAAAAAAAAAAAAAAAAACCGTTGGATCAACACATAATTGATGTAACGGTGAAATTGATTGATAATAACACCTAATTAATTGTTACAATATCCTACCCAGAATTTTTTAATAGACCAGGAAAGAGATGCAAAATCTAAGAGTCAGAAAGAAGCAAAGCAAAGTGGAAGAGAATAAAATGGTCCCGGGCCACAGTTGGTTAAAGCGTTGTTCTTGCGAACCGAATGAAATGAACAGTACTAGATTTCCATAACAAAACAAAACCATAATCTGGTCTGCTTATGAATCATGACACAGTCAAGGTTCGTCTACATCCATGAACATGAAAAACTTTCCCTTTTGCAAATGCATATTCATGAATCAAAAACAATGGCAAGAGGCCCAAGTAACCAACAACCCGGTCACCATCAAAGTACTGTTGTCACAGTTTGTTCTGCTGTCGTTGTTGAATTCTCCAAAAATCCCACCGTGTCATATAACATTATGTTACTCTGTCTCTGGGACTTAACTGCACACCAATATTCATTTTTTCTCAGTTTTGGGCCTTGTGGGGGTATATATGCGTCGGTTATGCCTTTAATAGTAACCAGAGGAACGTTTGGTATAGGAGAAATTTTTATTTGTTTAGAAATTTTAATTTTCAAAAATATGATTTTACATTCAGTTTACGATAATATCTAAAAATTTAAAATTTTAAAAATTTCAGTTTCTCGGGAATCCGAAAAAAATCCGTGTACCAAACGGCCCCTAAGTATTTTTTTTATTTTTTTTATTTCTTACTCCTTGTACATCACATCTCATATATAAGGAAATCAAAGGTGGTGTTGTATTGGACCATGGCATTCCATATTTTACACCCACTTTTTATTTTTTTTTATTTTTTATTTCTAACCATTTTGTTCTCTCTCTCTCTCTCTCTCTATTGAGTTTTCCTTCCTTTTACTTCTATATTGATATTATTGTCCCCCACTTCCTTTTTCCATCAAAAGTCTTGGTTGCCAAGTGAGGAAAAAGGATCTCTCTGCCTTGGACACTATACACCTTCTTCCCTGGTATGTCCTTCTCTGGTAGTTGCTTTATTTTCTGTGTTCATAAATGTGACTCTGGGATACCCATTGGCATGTTGGGTGATTATGTGGTGTCTTGTGATACTAAGTTGGATTTTGACATAATATGGTTTGCTTGCTACACAATCCAGCATTTTTGTTTTCATTTATTTATTTTTTAAGCAGTTTAGTTGTTGATCCACTTCTGTTTGGTGGATCATAGTTTGAGTTTGATGTGGAAGGCAATACAGTGGGATAGGATTGTTTTAATTTCTGCTGGCTGGGTGATTATTGCTGGAATCACTTATTTTTATACAGGGAACAAGCAGTTGGTTTTTTTGGTATCAACTATAACAGCATAGACTATAATAATAGCTGTAGTTTGGTTCAAAATGTGCAAATTAGTATTTTTATTTTTCTGGTTGCAAACTATGATCCAGTCTGATAGGTGTATGGTCTCTTATCTTGATGTCATTTGCTGATAGAATCTAGTTGTGCAGTGACTAATAAGACTTGTGATTGTAAATTTGATTTCTATTCCAGTTGTAAGATCGCATGTTCTGATTAGCATAATCGTTATAAGAGTGGTTATGTGATGTAGAATTATAAAGCAGGTAAGGGAAAAAGGTAAAGTAAGAAGAAATTGAGGGAAAGGGAGGCAGAAAGAGACTAATGTGTGAAGAATTGGTGTAAGGTTTTTAGTTAATTATTTGGATAAAGAAAAAGACTAACAATGGAGCAGGAACTTCAACACTGTTTTCTTCTTCAGTTTATGAACCTGCAAAATTTTTATTTGTGGAATGCTATGCTAATATTTTTTATACTCATTAAAACTACTGCAAGGGTTATTTTAATCTAAAGAAGGCACTACGCCACAAGAATGGGTTCAGGTGATTGGTTTAAGACAATTATTAGCTTAAGAAAATCAAAAGAAGGCAGATCCAAGAAAGCCAAGGTACAGTGAAATTTCTGTCAATTTTAGTTTCCGTCACTAATACTTGCAGGGATTAAGTTGCATAACTGTAAAACTGTTTATTATACTTTTTTTTTTTTGGTGAGCTGTTTATTATACTCTTTAATGCCATTATTTTCTTGAAAAATCAAATAAGTTTTTTGAATGCTTTGAAGGTCATGTATCTTGATTATATCATATATACCTTATTTTAGCTGCTGATGTTTTGTGATTTGGAGAAAAGAATTCTCATTCCGTACAAAGGATAAGTAAGTTGTCTTTAGAGTAGAGTCAGTCATTGTCCAATATTGAAATGATTGACATTTTTGTCAAAGCACTATACTTTGTTGACATAAATTGAAAAGCTTTGTTTAGATATCTTCTAGATGAAATTATTCATTGTTTTTGTCTGCAATATGCCTATAAACTATGGGTTTTATAATTCTCATGTAACATGAGAATTACAATTTTCCTACACACCCTTCGATTTCCGTGCTGACATGGGTCCTACATATAATTTTTTCTAACACATGGGTCCCACATGCTTTTTATCTCTACAACATGTGATTTCAATTCTCCTTCAACATGAGAATTATAAAACCCATAAACTATTGCAACAACATAAACCAAGCCTTACCTCACTATGTGGGGTCAGATACTTGGATCAGTCTATGCCATTGGCCTAATGTAATTAGTTTTTAAGCAGGACTTTTAGAAATTGAAGTTTTATCTCGAGTTTATCATCATGTTTATGAGGGGAAGTATATGTAGTTATTTTATTTATGACGACCCCTTAATGTAACTTGTTTTTTATTTAGGCAGCAGCAATGCCATTTATTACAATATATTGGAATTTGTTTTGTATGAGGACTGTTGTAACCCGAAAGTTTCTATGTCCACATATCCGGTCACACTTTGGGACAGGGATCTTTAGCTTCAGAGAAAGTAAGTGCATTGAAGACTAAGAATTATACAGGAAAAGAGTCCAGTGGTTTAGCAAATGGCATTAAAATTGAAAATCTTGTGTCAGCTGGGGTATCAGTTGAAACTATTGCTGCAACAAGAATTCAAACAGCATTCCGGGCTTACAAGGTATGTCAATTTGAAAGTTTCTCAGAGAAGAGACAGGCTAACTCCAACCTAACTTTATTGATTTTAGCACGTCCTTAGCAAGCATGCTTCTATTTTAGATTTCATTATTCGACTGTGGATGTCTATGTGCTATTTTCTTATATGCATATCATTTATGTTACTGTTTATAGATGAAGATGTATGTGTTTCTTATTTATAATATTAACCTTTGTTAATGTCTTATGCTGATTTTTGTTTTATGATGCTTACTTTTGAATCTGTCAGGCTAGAAAATATTTTTGTCGCTTGAAAGGATTCACAAAACTGAAGATCTTGACTCAAGGTTACTCAGTTCAAAAACAAGCCAGTACTGCTATAGCTTATCTTCATTCATGGAGCAAGATACAGGCTGAGATTAGAGCTCGCCGAATATGTATGGTGACAGAAGACAGGATCAGGAAGAAGAAACTATATTCTCAACTAAAACTTGAGGCAAATCTCCATGACCTGGAGGTAACCTTTCCTGCATTTTGGGGTGCTAGCAAGCTATAAGGTTTTCAGTGATGCCTGTGATTACATTAACAGCCAAAGGAATATGGGTGATTTCATTTGTTTCTCTGTTTCATATATGTATTCATGTGTCCCTATTTTAAATATCTAGGGACTATCTTTTCTCTTTTTTGTAGTAGTAAGTTAAATTGCATAGCAAAATGTCATAAAAACGTGTACTTATTTGAAATCAAGTTCCAGATATTAGCTTTTCCTGTTCATTAATGGATGAAATGCTTGAAATCCTTTTCCATGGACTAGTTAATAGTGGAGGAATTATTTCACTAGATACATGAGCTTGTTTGAACTCACTTCAGTTACTCTTTTCTGAGCAACAGTTTAAACGAATTACAGGTGGAATGGTGTGGTGGTTCTGAAACCAAGGAGGAAGTCATTGCAAGGTTACATCACAGAGAAGCAGCAGCAGTTAAGAGGGAAAGAGCCATGGCATATGCCTTCTCTCATCAGGTAGGTTAACCTTAGAAATGAGTCTCATTTACTTGTTTTCATATCCAACTGAAAATCAAATGCATATCTTATGAATCATAGTGGAGGGCCAACTCTAGTGAGAGCCAAGGGCTAGGGAATTATGAACTTAGCAAAGCTAGTTGGCGTTGGAGCTGGAAGGACCGTTGGATTGCTGCTCGCCCTTGGGAAAGCCGTGTCCCCAGTATAACCATTAGCCCCAAGAAAGCTCAAAATAAAGTTCAGAAGGATAAGAATCCATCAACACCAAAAGAACCAGTTTCAGTTAAACATGCTTCAGCTAATGCAAAAGGGTGTCATCCTTTGGGTAATGCAAAAGGGACTACAAAGGCTAGAAGATTGTCTTACCCTGCAACAGATAAAACGTTGGTGCATGAAGGAAAGCAATGAGTACTCAGGCGTTGATGCTAAGAAGAAAAAAAAGCATTTTTATAATCAAGTTCAAGCCTATTGTCTAACATCAGCTGAGTTAAATTGCTTTTTAAGGGGTTACAGTGTGTAAAGTCAAGATGAAAAGCTATGTTTTTTATTCACTGGACGCTTCCAATTTGTGCATATGAAAGTAGTGAAATTCAGTCACTTTGGTAATAGAAACAAACCTTCATGTGTGTGTGATTTGTTGATTGCTTCTGTTTATTATTTTCAATCTTGTATATTCACTGCAGAGACAAATTATAGATAAGATTAATTATCCTCTTCCCCCTCTTTACTCTTGTAATTGAAGGTTTTTCTGAGTTGTGATCTTCTTGTTGATTTCTTTATCAAGGTCGCTGATGCAGGTTATATGTTGCACAAAAATATAGCGTGTTATTTTTCAACTGCAGTATTTTATGACAGTATTGTTTTCTTCTTTACACTTTCGTCCTTTGCTTTTATAGTACTGTTCAATGTTCGAATGTTCCAAACTTAATCAAAATTCAAACTAGAATTCTAAGTTAATTACCACACCTTTAAATGTTGTAACTCTATCACAATATCTAGACTTGACATAAATAAAGTGACTATGGCCATCATGTTCGTACCTAGAATTCCAATCATATTTGAAAGTACCATCTGAGTTTAATTAACCCAACCCGAATGAGAAGTATTTCACATAATGCAAATGCCATTAGGAATTAAGTTATTGCATGTCAATTGCAGGAAATTCCTTAAGACATGAAGTGGTTTTTTTCTCTGATTATACTTCTGTTAGACTGTTACCAGTAGCCGTTTGATTAGGACAGTATAATTTTTTTTTTTCATGTTTCTTTTCTAGTTTTTGGACCCTAGATCTTTATTGTTAAAAAAAAAAAAAAGTTATTACATGTTAATATGGCAACAAAACTTTCCCTCACCTTATTAAAATATTTAATTAGTGTTTGATGTTTCTCATGTTGTAAGAGATGAAATTATTTTATATATACACATAAAAGACATAAAAATATATGAGACCATATAAAGAGAAAAAATAAAAAATAAAAAAATAAATTCTACATACTTTTATATTTATTTAGAAAATAATTTTCTCTTCTACATTAAACCAATTTAATTTTTATAACAAATTGATTTGGTGATCCATTAAGAAGTCATTTTTCAAGTCGCAAGCCATAAAATCTTGGTACAAATTGGATGAAACAGACTGGTACCAAATTACGTAGGTGTATAGTTAAATCCTTTTATTATATTGGTGTGAATTCAAACGCAAGCCCTGGCACTGACCAACCGTCGTTAATTTCTTAAAAAAATAAATTTAAGACATGACATAATTGAGACAAAGTGGGTGGGGGAAGGGTAGTACTAAGTAACAAACACACATGGTTTCAATTCTAAGAACGTTGTCAATAATAACAACCTTTATTACCCAGAGCATCTATCTCCAAATTCATGGATTCTTCTTCCAACGCCGGCAATGGAGGATCTCAGAGGCTTCTAGCCTTGGCACAACACCTTCGCATGTACAAACCCCCACCTTTCCCTGAAGATATTGTGGAGCAGAGCATTGAAGAACGTGGTGGTAAGGTTGTTTCCCAAGTGGGTTTTCCTGAATCAGCAACCCCAATTGCTCAAAACCCAGAAAAATTCAGACCCAATAAAGCTGCTGTTTTGATCTGCCTCTTCGAAGGTGATGCTGGGGATCTACGTGTCATACTCACTAAGCGCTCTTCCAAGCTCTCTACTCACTCGGGTCACTCTCATTCTTTTTTTTTTGTTTCTTCTTAAAAAAAATTAATTTTTTATTATTATTATTGCAATTTAGGTTCTGTAAATTAAGAGGGAATGAACTGAGGGTTGTGTTGTGTCTGTTTCTATGTTTTTTGCAGGTGAAGTGGCCTTGCCTGGTGGGAAAGCGGAGGAGGGGGATAAGGATGATGGGGACACTGCAAAAAGAGAGGCACAGGAGGAAATTGGGTTGGATCCAGAATTGGTCAACGTTGTTACTGTCCTTGAACCATTCTTATCTAAGGTATGTGTTTTATTCTATTTAATAATTCACTAGCTGAAGTAATTAGTATAACTTTCGATGGACCACTGTCTTGGCTTCCTTGTTGCTGAAAGAAAAATTGAGTATTCTCCAATTATCTGTAATTCGGAATTTTGCTGTAAAATTTGCACATTTATAAAAAATTATTTCCTTGATGGTTGTTGGTTCATGAAATGCTTCAGTACTGGAAGATGTTGATTTTGGGTGGTTAGTGAAGTTCAGGTTGTCTAATTTATTTTTAAAGCATCCTTTTAAATCATGAAATACTCAGGTTGTTTTAAATCATCCTTTTGAACTCAGTTCAAACCTTATTGTGAGTGGTGTCTTGGATGCTGATTGTTTCATAAACTGTACATGTCATTAACTCTGTATAGCATAATGTGGTGGGGAATGGGTTTGACCTGAGTAATGAAATACATATCCTCTGTTAATAATTTAAGGGTTATAACTTATAAGTCAGAGTTCTATCCTATTTCTTGTTTTTAGGGATTAGTATATGATAAGGACAAATTGATTAGGTTTTCTCACTGTCTACATTTATGAATGTAAGCACTAAGAAATGTTATATTGAGTGATTCCTTTGGCCTTTTTTTTCGTGTTGAAGAAAATCACTGAAATGTCATCATTGGTGCCATTAATTGTTATGTATCATTGCAGATCATTGAACTGGGTATAAAATTTCAGTGAGTCCACGGTATCTAAGCAAATGCTAAAACAAAAATGGCTGAGGCTCTTCATTGTCTTCTTAGTTCTTAACTACTATTCTTTAATCTTTAGATGATGGTTTGATAAGTAAAAGAATTTCACACATATAAACTATTAGAGTGACAGGAATAAACAATAAAAGAATTCTTAACAGTACATTATTACTGCTCAGAAAAACAGGAATGGAAGTAGTGTAGATGATGCCCAATAGAGTGATACTATACATTTATGACAATAACAGCACCACTGGATGTTCAAAAGTTTGATTACTTGGATTCGTTTTCTTTGACAAACATTGCATGGAAATAAGTTCTTATTTACGATAATTCGTATATGATGAATCAAAAACACATTTCTACTTTTTTTTAATTTTTTTTTTTTTTGACACATCGTTTATCATTAATTATTTCTGGAAACTGTAAACCATAAACGAGATGCAAGAGTGTCCTTCTCAATTTCTCTGGATACAAGTATTCATTTCAAAAGTTGGTATGCTGTCACTTTTTATAAATTTGTATCGATGGCATTGATGTTTGAATTCCCAGATGTTAGTCTATTTCTCATCTGCTTCAGATTATAAGGGTTCTATGGGGAAATTTTACCAGTACGTTTCACCTAACATTGTTTCTTTTGTAGCACCTCCTAAGAGTAGTTCCCGTCGTTGGCTTACTTCATGACAAGAAAGCATTCAAACCTGTTCTGAATCCTGCTGAAGTGGAATCAGTATTTGATGCACCTTTGGAAATGTTTCTCAAGGTTCCTGTTTAGTTGTTTTTTGTATTTTTTTTTTTTAAATATCTCATGTCTTCTTCAATCTTTATATTCATCTGGAGGTTGTCTGATGTCATTACTTCAACCAGGATGAAAATCGGAGTCAGGAGGAGAGGGAGTGGATGGGAGAAAAGTATTTGATACATTTCTTTGACTATGAAATCGAGCATAAAAAATACCTCATATGGGGTTTAACTGCTGGGATCTTGATTAGGGCTGCATCAGTTGTGTACCAACGGCCACCAGCTTTCATGGAGCAGAATCCTAAATTCAAGATTCCACAGGTTGTAACCAAGGATAGTGTAATGCGTTGAGTTCAAAATTTATTGTATTTTATCCTTAATATTTGTCCTTCATCGTACAATAATATTTATCACTATTACAAAGTACTAGAATTAAGCAGGTGTTTATAATTACTGAAAGAAAGGAAAATGGTACTGCCCCATAATTCAGAATTCATATTCCTGTTTACCCAATGTCGTCGTAAAGTTGAGGTAGTTGTTGATGTTGGATCACATTCAGAAGGAGTATCAACGAGTGGTAGGGTATTTCACAGATATAGATTATAAAAGAATAATACTGCAGAGTCTTGAAGTTTGGCTTGGATGTTTGTTGAATTCATATGATTTAAGAGACGAACCACGTGGTATATGCCATCATGACAGTGCCAAGCTATGAAGTACCCGTACTTCAAAATAAATTTCTGACGTGTTGTGTCTGACACTTCACGATATTTACTGACACTTTCTGACACTCTAATACTCGTTGCAAAGACTCAAAAAAAATTCAAATGTTACGTTACGTTACATTTTGAATTCTAACTATTAGATTCGTTAGATTACAATTACTATTTTATTGAGTTTAATATGAACATTTAGAATATCTTATGTTTCTTTGCAAAATTAATGAGTATTATAAGTTTAAGTTTAATTTTAATTTTTTGTTAAATTATTGAATATTAAATATAATATACATTACATAAATTAAAAATATTATATAATATTAAAATGTGTCGAAATTTAACATTTTTTAAAATTAATATATCAGAATATTGTATCATATCGTATTCGTGTCGGTACAACATAGATGCCAAGTTAGTGTTGGAAGGCCTACTCGAGCACAGTAGTTATTGTGACTTATGAATTGAACTTATTTTTCTCTACAACACTAGTCATCTTATATGATGCTGTTGGCCAATTTTGGGGAATGGCTAATGACTAATATCTTTTTTCTTTTTTTCCTTATATTTGTCGGTTTATTGATTACCCGATTAATATCTAAGGGATGCTGACTAAAATATCACTGTTCATCAACTTTTTTACCTAAATGCCACGCCAACAGTGTTATTTCTCAATCTGCCACGGGGGCAAGTTCGCTTCTAACACAAGCGACCTCGGTTTACTGATGTGTCACACTTTTAGTGGATAACAAGTATTAAATTTAAAAAAAAAATTCAAAAAAAATGAAGTTCGCCTACCATGTAGGCGAACTTGATTAAAATATTGTTGGAACCGAGGTCGCCTGTGTCAGAAGCGAACTCTGACACCACTAGAAAGCTGACACATCAGCAAACCGAGGTCGCTTGTGTCAGAAGCGAACTTGCCCCGTGGCAGATTGGAAAATAATACTGTTCGCGTGGCATTTAGGTAAAAAAGTTGGTGAACAGTGACACAATGGTCACTGTTCCTAATATCTAAACACTTGTTGATATGCATTATAAACCGTACAAAGGAAAACTTAGGTGTGACAGGCGTGGGGATTCGTGTAAGCATAAATATCTTATTAGATTATTATTTTGGTGCGTATATACAATTAAATCCCCATTTTGGTTAAGAAAATTACAGGAAGTAATTGACAAAGTCTCACGCAAAAGGCCTGGAATTTCATGTGTAGATGGAATTTCTGAATCTTGCGCATGTTCAAGGACAATGAAATCCCCACAGAAAAAGTGAAAAATGTAAAATAATGAAGCGGTAACATGTTGAATCAGTACTATAACAGACAGACCAAGTTATACCAAGTTCAGCTGAATACCTGATAAAATTTCTCAATAACAAGCAAACCTGAGTCTATTGACTCCAAGGGATCCTTTCGAAGACGGTGCCTTAAACAGTTAGGGATGACAGTAGCAATATCCTCTGCACTTACTTTGTCTCTTCCCTTGAGAGCAGCAAGAGCTTTTGCAGCTCTGTTTGTTACTATGTCTCCTCTTAATCCGTCCACATTCAACTCTGCACAAACCTTAGAGATTTTTACCTTGAGATCATGATCAATTTGAACATAAGAAAGATAACTCCTAGCTGAGGCAATCTGTTGCTGGAGCTTATCCTGCTCTAGTTTGTAAGAATCTCGGAATTCCTTTGGGTTTTTGTCAAACCTAGCTCTCTCCTCAACAATCTTCACTCTTAGCTCAGCATCCCTTACAGTCCCCACTTGAGCATGCATTCCAAACCTATCCAGAAGCTGTGGCCTGAGTTCCCCTTCTTCAGGGTTGCCTGAACCAATTAGGATAAACCGTGCAGGATGTGAGATTGAAATACCCTCTCTCTCCACTGTGTTCCAACCTGATGCAGCAGAATCCAATAAGACATCGACTAAGTGATCATCCAAAAGATTAACTTCATCAACATATAGAATTCCCCTATTAGCTTTAGCCAGTAGGCCAGGCTCAAATGCCTTTACACCCTCAGTTAGGGCTTTTTCAATGTCAATTGTCCCACAGACTCTATCTTCTGTAGCTCCCAATGGCAAATCCACCATGTTAATTTTGGAATAGACAACCTGAAGTTGCTCTCCTTTCAACACACGCTCTCTCACTTCAACAACCATGAATTCTGGATCCTCTGGATCTGAATTATAAGGGTCACCAGCAACAACCTTGATTTCAGGAAGCAAATCAATCAATGACCTAACTGTTGTAGATTTCCCTGTTCCCCTATCCCCCATGATCATTACACCTCCGATCCTGGGATCAATCACATTTAGGAGAAGGCAAAGCTTCATCTCATCCTGTCCAACTATAGCAGAAAATGGGTACACTGGCCTCTGACTTTCTTTAGAAGCAATCTTCTGAACCTGGATATGTTAAGTTTAGAGAGCTGAGATGTTATCAAAACAGTAAACAAGAAAACAAAAACAAAAATTGCAAAGCCAGATTTTATATTACTAAGGGTGCACTATACAATATAAGCTCAAACATATCCTCCATTTGACATTTCATCCCTATTAAATCACACCCGAAATGTGTAAATTTAATAGAAACTAACATATGAAAAATATCTCTCTATGTGGTTCAAAAATCATGATTCCAATCTATGCTTCCCTAAAATTCATTGCAGATGTTCAATGACACATAAAAGATGGAATTTTTTCCAACAAGAATCTGGAGTCCAACTAGTGTTTCCACTCAATCTGAGTAAAAGCTCAAAACCCAAAAGCCAGTACCTGGACTACACTAGCATTTCGTTTCCCCTCAGCGAAATGCTGGCAAATGTGACAAAAAAATGCAATATCCCTTACCTACCTGTTCAGCAAAGTTAACTTCAGCGACAACACTCACAACTGGGAACTGAGACCTTCCCTTGACGCCATAAAATCCAATTCCTCCACAAAACTTGCGCCCAAATATCATCCCTGCAAAGCCACAACCATTCAACATCGCTGACAATTACACAGTGCTTGCAACACCCACGTCCCATTTCCATTTAAAACTCCCCAAGACCGAAAAAGTTCATAGCTTTAGCCCAAAAGAAACACCAGATGTGAAACGGGTGTTTCGCATACCCACCCAAATCAATGGAAAAGGCGAAAACAAAGGTTCTGATACAGGTATAACAAAAAGAAGTTGAAGTTTGTAAGACGATGTACCTGTGGTTAGAGAGAGAGAATGAATAGAAGGAGAAGAGTGGTATCGTGAAGGCACGAACGCAATCGAAGAAGTGCCCAACGTGGACGCCATAATTTGTATGCAGCAGTTGCAGGCAGTTGCAGCTTCTTCCTTGAGTTGTGCGTTTCGTTCACATTGAGTTATTCACAACAGCTTTATATGAAGGTGATAAATTTACTGTACTAAAAAAAAAGGTGATAAATTTCACTATTTTAGTCGAATCTGTTTCTCTTGTTCCACCTGCTTTTAGTAATATCTAGCTTTTATAAAATGAAAAAACTAATCTTATGCTACATGTGATAACTTTTTTCTCCTACACATTCTTCGATAACTGTGTCATTTTTTTCTTCTTTTTTTCAGATAGTGGAACTCACAAATTTATCTTTATGACATGAGATAATTTATCTCCTTTAATATGAGATTAATAAAACCTTATAAAATTTATTAATGAGGGTAAGGATTGTTTGCTGAACTAGTATGGTAAGTTGATTAAAACTAAATAAAAGGAATTTGGTTCGGTTGCTCTCATATTCATACTATACTAATAATCCTTTATTGATAGTTCAGTTTTTAAGTTGTGTCATACAGTGACTTTTGGAATAGAGCTAACCTTCTTATTCTTTGCATGAATTCCCTAAATTTTTTGTTAGATTGCTCTTACCCAGGTTAACTATTCAGAGAACAAAATTTCTTGCCATGCTATAGCTCATATGATCAATTATTATGGTGTGTCTGATGTCATCAGTTTGATTCATGCCTTTTCTTTCTTAATTTTAGGTGTAGAAGGCCTCTTGTATGTAAAAAAGAAAAATTTTAGATAAATAAATTTTCAATTTTAAATTATATCAGAACTAATTAGGCTATTCGCACTAACATATAGCCTTTTTACCACATGATCAATGTTCGCCCTAACTATCAACAATGGGTGTATTTGATCTGTGTAATAAAAGTTAAAGCAACCGCATAACGTACGTATGGAGCTTAATTCTCCATAAAGCACACTTCTTTCCACATCCCTATCACCTTACAGTCCTTACTCCAAAAAAGTAATAACCAACCTCCCATAATAAATGCTAAGAGTAGGGCGTTGGTATGCATGCAGATAAATTCTTACATGCCCTACTAATACAAATCATACTCTCTCTTTTTTTGAAAATTAATAAAAATCCTACTCTTTAACATCGAATATATCGCCGTTTCTCACTTAAGAACTATATTTTTTATGTTATAGTTGAGATCATACATACTTTATGATACAAAGTATGTTTTCATAGTCCGAAAACACTTCAGAAGTTCTCATGTTTCGTTGAGTTACCTGCCCTTTTGGCACGTAGGTCATGTTAATGGAAAGTAGGCATGCAAAACATATTGCTGCAAAATGGAATAAAACCCCTGCTGTCACCAGCAGTGGGGTGGTTCGATCCTCCAGAATCACCCTCAATCCTCAAATTTGAAAACCCAGCTTCTCAATGACCTATGGTTCAGGTTCGCCCTGAATAGTTGTATTCCCATTTAGGAAAGAAGAAATATTGGTTGGCGACTAGAAGGAACAAAAACTAGAGAAAAGCTCACAGCTTAAGTCACAACTTTAGCAAAACCAAAAAAGATTAATCATCAATTTCAAAAAAAGTTATAAACACAGGGAGCCATACAGATGCTCCCTACTAAATTCAAAAGGCAAGTTATGAAGATCCTAGCAGCCAAACTTATGTCATCAATAAACAGGTAATTGAACTACAAAATGTATATCTAGTTTTTGTCAAACTGTAATAGTTTTTGTGATTTTTATCATATTATGTTGTCACCAAAAGATATGCTAGGCCTTTCAAGTATTCAACAATCTCTGATCCACCAAGTTTTGAACTTCCATATACTCTATCAACAAACGTGATTGGAACCTGTACACATGTGAAACTAAAGTCAGCTATAAAGTGAATAATGAATGGGGTGATAACCATTGAACATGGTAATTATATTAAGAACTATAAGCTATCTACTCCTCAAGTATTTGGGAAGGTGATGACGGTGTAGCAAACACAAAAAAGAGAGAAAGAAAGGTTGAACTGCTGAAGTACAACAAAAAACACACAACGTAACCAACGAGCTTTCAAATTGCCCTCAAGAAAGAAATGCATATATTGATTCAAATATGAAAATTTAAAGCATCATATATTTATCTGATTATCAAATGCTAAGAAACTTCTCTGTAATCTATTACTAGCAATCATGCTCATGCCCAATGACAAGCAAATTATATAATTTCCAAAAGAGAAAGATAGAAGAATAGAAAGGAATAGGAGGGATCCTGAAAATGATTCCAATGTTCAGACAATTACCCTTCAAACAGTTTACAAAGCACAGGACAGGACTTTATGAGTGTCACGGTCATTCAAATTTGCAACGTTATCAAATGCATTTTTCATGATTAGTTGTATGTCATACAATACTTTCAATCTTATGGGTTATTCAGTTACCTACGGAAGATCAACAATTTCACAAAAAAGGTCAGATAACAAAGCCATAAATACAGCTTGGATTCAACATGCAGAACTAGCACATCTGCATGGATAACAAATGCTTATTGCCTCAACATACAAAGCACATGCAAGTCATCACACATGAATCGCTGAATCCCCTTTAAGGCAATTCCATGGACAACCAAAGCCACAGGATTAGGGTGTAAAAGCATTTGTGAAACATTTCTAGGATTCATCAGCTAACATCTGTAAGCTGTAGCCAATTATAATTTCTGCAGTCTAAAAAATGATATATTTCATTGTCCAACTGACAAGTTTTAAGAACAAAAAGTACAAGTTATATACCAAAAGAAATTATGCTAGTTATATCCATACAGTACAAATGGCAAGCACATATAGTAATAATCATTTGTCATTTCACATCTAACTCGAGAGCTATGAAGTCAACATAACAACCAGGTTAATATAAATTATAAGCATCATTAATGAAGCAACTGTACCTCTTCAATATGGTACCCTTTTCTGGATGCTCGTACTATCATCTCCATTTGAAATACATATCCCTTACTAACACAGCAACTAATGATATCTTCAAGCACTGATTTCCTATAAAGTCTACAAAGAACAACAATACATCACTCTCAAACCAGGGAACAGGTGAGCAAGAAACACTCACCAAATTGCTTAGTAACAACAATCAAGCTCTATACCTAAAAGATCCTGTCAAATCTGAGACACCAGGCCATAGAAGTGTTTGTGCGAGAACATTTGCTCCCCTGCTAGTTAGCTTGCGCATAAGATTCCATCCATGCACACCACCACCTTTAACATAACGAGTCCCAGTAACTATATCAGCACCAGTTTCCAGCTGCCTTCTGAAAAAACAAAAGGGAAGAGTTAAATTGTGGCAGGTAACAAGAAAACAAGAAAAAAAAATATTTTTGAAACCTTTCCTTACCTAATGAAGCTTGGCAAATATTTTGGCTGCAGAAGAACTAAATAGATCAGACAAAGAAAAAAAAAAAAATAAGAAAAAGATAAAACAGTTCCGCAACTCATAAATTCTCTAAACTAGAAATCTGAAAACGAAGTTCATCTAACTTTTCTTAAAGTTTTTATTCCTTTTCAAATTTAATCACTCCTCATAACTGCAAACTATCATGTAGAATTGAACAGCATAACTTACATGGTGTGATAGATCAGCATCCATGATGACAACAAAATTTCCAGATGCATGCTTCATGCCATGAATATAAGCCGTTCCTGCAAATTGATTGTGTCAAAGGCCAATTTATCAAGATTATTTAGTATAAGTATCAGGTACACATACCTAAACCCAGCTTCCTAGGTCTCGCTCTTAACAGCTGGAACCACAGGAATAAGCATGGTTACTCTAAATGATACAAAGAGGGTGAGACAGAACTCAAAAAATAGGATACATCATGGATGACTGGTTGTTTACAGATGAAAATTCAATTTATAAAGTCACTGCTTACAATCCGATCTTCTCCATAAACTTGCTGCAGCTGTTTTACAACATCCTGAGTACCATCAGGACTCCCATCGTCCACAACAATAATTTCAAAATCAGCATCCCTAAATTGAGCAACAAAAAGGAGTATTCAAAAGAAGGTTGATCAGAATATAGAAATGGCATAAACGATAGCTTTCTAACATTTCCACAATTAAAAAAAAAGGCATTTCCTTACTGAAAAAAGCAATATATTACAAAATAATTACTTTTTTTCACATATACGATTAGGAACATGCTTATATTTCCCAAAATGTAAAATACCTATTGAGAGCCCAGCTTATAAATCATTCCCATATTAATACAGAAGGAAAAAAAAAAACAATTCCGAGGGAGCAGATATAATCAAGAGATGGAGAAAATACCCAAGGTGCTTGACTATGAGGTAAACAATGAGACCAATGTTGAGGCGCTCGTTATAGGTAGGAACAATTATACTGTACTTGTTTTTTTGCTTCTGATGCAGCACATCCATTCTAATCCAAACTTGAATCAAATCCACCCAATGCTGTTAGATTGAAGAAGCAAAATATTGAACAACGTATTACCAACATGATTAAGCAGACAACAATAAAGAAGTTTGTAGCAAAAACTCTACCATCGATTAGAACTTAATATGAGCTTCCATTAACATATTACAGAACAATCAACATATATATATATATATATATATATATATATATATATATATGCGAAGAGATAGAAGGAGTATCACTGACACTGTTAGAATCATCAAATTGACATGTCACTTAGATAAAATCAATGATCAAGTAGGAAGTAATAGAATTTAAGGACACTATTTAACTAGATTGCTGACATAAACTTAATGGAAAAGAAAGAGATAATCAAAAGATCATCGCACTGGAAAAAACTATTATTAAAAAATAAAGTCCCAACACATCAATACAGGGACAGAATTGTCAATACAGGTTCTCGATTTCATCGAAACGAACCCAAATTCGTATAGGCTCTTGTTATTCAACAAGATCCCACAACCCAGTTGAAGATGGTTAACCCACCGAAATCTATAAGTGGGGAAAGCGATTCTCAAAATGATAGATTCTAACTCAACAGATTTCATCACAGGATAACCATAATTAAATAATAAATAAACGAAAGTGGTAGAGGTGAACCAACCTAACAACGCGAGGAACGCAAGATGGCGGAGGACAAACACCAACGGCGAACGACGGCTTTAAGCGGAAACCAAAGAGGGTCAAAACAATGAATGCGACTAAAAGCTATCATTTTAATTTTTAAAGGACGTAAAATTGTCTTCACAAAGAGATAGATAAAGAAGATATAGTGAAAAAAAATATATAAAGATGTGTTCTCACTTTTTGTGTTTTGTGGGAGTAAAAGGATAAAACAAATATTTTTTCCTTATTTTTTACCTTTAGTACTTATAATATTAATTGGTTATAGTACTTTTATTTTTATTTATTCATATTTTCATTTATTCATATTTTAATTTGTTAATGATTTATATTTTTTATGTAATAATTTAACATAATATGATATTAATATTTGAGAAACTAAAATATTAACAATGAACATTATAATAAGAATTAAAATATAAATGAGTAGAAATTGTAAAACGAAGTTTTATTTCGAACTTTACATATTTCTTTACATTATTTCTTTACATTGAATAAAAAATAAGTATATAAAGTAAAGATTCGCTTTTTTTGCAGTTACCGCAGATAAATTATTTACAGTAAACTTAATACGACGTCGTTTTGGAGCGAAAATCATAATATTTTTATAATTTTAATTTTTTAGAGTTATTATAGTCTTTATAATTATAATTTTTTAATATTTTAATCTCAAAACAATATTGTTTTAAAAGTAAATACAGATAATTTATTTGTAATAACTGCAAAAATATGTAAACAACTGTTTAATGCAATTATATAAAGCATGATACTTTTTATTGCTTACCTTTATATTATACTTCAATATTTTCCACCTAATTTTTTTGGCACAGGAGTCGATTTTGTTACATTTTAATTTTTCTTAATAATTGAATGTGGAATTTGTGTTTGAGAACTTTCCACTTGAAAGAAACATATATTGGTAATTTAAATGAAAAATCAAGTGTTTTGTTGAGGAATGAAATTAAGAAAATATTATAAATCGTAATTTAAAATAAATTATTAAAATAAGTTAATATTGATATTAAGTTTGTATGAATAATTATTTTTTGTTAAGTATACATGGTGTGTAGCACAAGCGCTGAAGTTACTTCGACGTTATCTAAATCAGCCAAGTTTTCCTCCGCTGTTACGCGCCTTTCTGAAGTTTGGACTTAAGAAGCCGTTGCTATTTAAAGCTAACTCGAACACAATGCCTACTCCACATTGCTTCCTCTTCATGCTCTCAAAGCTTCCACGTTCATTTTCTTTGGAGCCAAACGGTGAATTTCCTCGTATCTCTCTTCTCATCTTAACCACATAAAAAAAACTCTGTCGCTGTTGATCTTTTCTCCCATTCGGTTGCGGAAATTGCAAATCACTGCCTTCTTTCAAGTTTTAGGTCTTACGATACCGTTTCAGCCGAGTCCACTAGGTCTCTCGGATCTGTAAGTCACGCATTTCTTTTCTGTTTTGAAGATATCTCTTCGCGAATCTCAAAATTTCGTCTCTGTGTGTGTTTCATTTGCACTTGCCATCAATTTGTTAAATTTTCTATCTATGGAGTTCAACTAATGCTGGTTGTTCCAACAGTCATAGATTCGTGTGTACTTGATTTATGACCGGTTTCTGCTTATTTTTAACGAACTGTGAATTTTTTTGCGATTTGTTTGACTGTTAAATTTGTCGCACTGAACTGTTTCCTATTTCTGGATTTGGCGTCTCTGCGAAATCAATTCGATTGCACTTGGACTTCTGAATCTAAATTTTTCGTTAATCGCCACTTAATTTTTCGTTAAATCTATATTGAGATTTTGCTGTAATGTTTGATGTACTTAATGTTCCCTAATTTGGGAGCAACATCTGATAGTAGAAGATGATGCTATTTCACTGTTGTTCGTTTATTAAGTTAGCTTTATCCCAAGTTCTACTACTACAGGTAGTTATCTTGTTCATAAGTCGCATTTGGGCACAACTTGGATACTTCAAGTATGTGAATAATTGTTTAAGAAATTTTCTTTAATTTGTCAACTAGAACTTGTTATTACCTTATTGGTAAAATTGCAATTTATGATTTATTGGCAAACAAATTTTTGATATAGAGGATAAATTGTTAGAGAAAATATAAAACCGTTAATGTGAACTTTCATCTAAAGTGGTCACGAATTTGATCCTCACAGTTTTTCTTCTATTAATAAATAATTAAATATTGTGGAGTTTCTTAATACACGTAGGTGAATCCTTGTATTATTTTCCTTCAAGCTCAATGGGCTCTTTTGTAAGAAGGCAAGTTAGAGAAATACAATATAAATCCTTAATATCCTCACCTCACAACTTAAGCACTGCAACGTTCTAAGATGGTTCATATGCTAAGTTCATCAACTGTCCTTTTGTTTAACTCATCTTAAGTTGGAAATGTTCATTAGGATATCCTATATTAAAATTCAGGGAAGGTTATATTTACAAACTTTTTGTTTACAAACTTTTACAAACTACATTATGTCTTACTGGTAAGACACTCTTGAGTGAAGTCTTACCGTTAAGACATAGTATAGTTTGTAAATTTGTAAATTTTCTATCTATTATTCCCATCAATTATTACTTATTTTTATTTTTATGGCTTATTTCAGCAAATGCTGGAAATCATACTTTCTCTTAGCTTATCGTATTTCATTACCACAGTAGCTAAGGGACTTGTCTCGTTGTTCTGATATTTACACCTGGATGTTTTTCTTTTCTTTTTTGCCCCTCTTAAAACAACTATCATGGTTATGATCAATATTGTTTTTGCTGGTAATTGGATCTATAGATAGATGTTTTATCCTAGCTGAGGTGTGAATCAGAAATTTCGCCAACCTCAAGGAATGGCAGAACAGCAAAAGGAATCCTCATCTGCAGATTCGAAGGAGAGAAGTTCATTGCCAGGTTTTTCTCTACATTGAGTTTTACTTCTATGATGTAGTGAGTATTACAAATAATTCTTCCTAGTTCCTTTTATGCAAACAAGTATTGGTATTAGCAGAAGGAATGGATGAGCTCGGAATTGATTGCATTCCACTGTGCATTTAGCCGTTGTATTTACTAGTCACAACTGTTTATGGTTCATAAAATTTATGGAAGCATAGCTGTTTATTGCAGTTCATTTATAGCTTTTTAGGTGAAGTCCTTATTCTGCCTTGAATTTGATGTCATTTTGGATTAAAATCAGGACTTTGATTTCTCTAAATAAAAACTACTGCAACAAATCTCACCTTGGCTTATCTTCTGTTGTCTTGGAAAATGAAGTGAACACAAATAGTAAGACTGAATCAGTAGAGTCAAATAATTAGGGGGTACCTTTTTCTTTTATATTTCTTGCATTCCTCTAGGGCGCATATATTATTTTTGTTTCTTTATCCTAAGTATTGATGCAAGATCCTTAGATGTCTCGCAGTTTCTTGTAAATTTGTGAGATTGCATGGGTGAGCTATATATATAAAATGATATTATGTAAGTATTTCTTTTTCATTTGTGTTAATTATCAAGATACAAGAGGTATTGATTGTAATCCTTGTGTCAACTACACGAAGGAGATTTCATTTATATATCAAACTAAATGAGAGATACACAATGTGGGACCTCTACGACACTATTTACAATAACAATTTGCATTTTTTAATTCAAATAGATGATGGAATCGGAAAGGAATTTCTTAGCTCCTGGAAATCCATGTCAATGGCAGATGATAATGCCATGGACTTTAGCTTTGACACTGTTTCTAAAGGCAAGAAAAAGACATTCGACTTTGAAAAACTGTAAGTATTCCCAGTCTTCCCAAGGACAAAGTTTAGGTTATGCAAAGTTAAATATGGACAGGTAATAGTTATTGGTTTCATTCTGAAATATTCTGTTATGTCTTTAGGTTGACAGATTCGATGGTTAGTATTTTGCACTTATAATGGAGAAGGTTGATATGATGAATGAAGTGTGCATTGTTTTGATCTTTCTGCAAATCTATAGTGATTATGATGGTTTATATAAAAGAGCGTTTCATTTAAGGGGCCAATTACCATCATATACATATATGCTTATGCAATGCAGTTGTGAGTTTGTAGTACCTAATTAGTTGTTACAAATAATCTTTGGTAGGGACATGGATTTTAATCTGGATGGTGAGTTCGACAAGATATCATCATTTAAGGTGGACATGTCCGACCTTGATTTTACATGCCCGCCAAAAAAAACATCCCAGTCTAAGGACAAAAAAGAAGCTTCTGGTGCAAAAGCAGGGAAACAAGATGGATTTAATTTTAGCTTTGATTTTAATGAGTAAGTGGGGGGAAATATTCAAAGCAATAATCATTCAATGCACAGATATGTTATTTATGGGTTCTGCAAAATCAATGTGAGTGATATGAATGGATTAATCTATTATATTATTGTATTTTTATTTGGCGTAGGTTGGATAGCTTCAATCTTGATTCAAGCTTAATAAAAGTAGATACTACTTCCAACATTAACCAGAGAAAAAAAGGAGTTACTGCAGAAGAAAGTGATAATGAAGATGCAAAAAAGCCTAAAACCAATGATGATGGAGGTGTTCATGCTTCTAATGATAGCAAGGCTATGAAACCTCCAGCATCAGAGAGGCTGGAAACTTTGAAGGTCGATACTTTGGTTGATAACCTTGGGAATCTAGTTTCCAAACAGGATGGTTCTGTTTCCAAATTTTCATCCTCTCAGAACCTCGACATGTCAATTGAGAGTCAAACTTCGGCTGTAAGTAGAAGTATAAGCACAGAAGAAATGGATCAAGAAAGAGACATACCCGAGAAGACAAAATCAACAGAATCAAAATCTGAGCAGGTTATTGATAAGGCACCTTTCCAGTCTACAATAGTTCAGAGTGATTCAGAGGAAGACACTATCTCAGAACAGCATACAAAGGTTTTCTCATCTGGAACAAAAGTAATTAATTTTTCAGGTGATAAACAAGAGGTTAATGAAAAGGCAACACATGTGGATTCTAATGGTTTGGACTTACAATTAGAGCATTCATCCCCACCTCACATCACTAAGTCAGATAGCAGTATCGGAGAAGCAATTAATGTAGGTAGCAGTACCCGGGAAGGGGTTACTAATGACCCTCAACCAGAAAAGAGTGATACAAGTTGTGAAAATATTACTAAAAATGATGCCTCAAAGAAGAATTCATGTGAAAATGACATCCGAGAAAACAAAAAATCAACTTTGGAGTGTCATTTGGCTTCAGCAAGCAGGTCAAATTATTATGATCCTTTTTTATTATCATTAATAATAAGTGTTAGTTTATTTCTGGAATTAGCTGAGTTGCTGAAACTCATATTCTGTAAGGTAGCAAGGACATAATGATTATTTTTTAAAAATAGGGATACACTCTTTTTTCACAATTTTCACTCATTTGATGCAGTAATCCTGTAGTTGATAAAGTGGTGCAGAAGAAAGATAGAGAACTCCAAGTCATGCCGTCAAATATGCTCAGCAGGACAGAGGACAAAAGGCCTTTAAAGCATCCTTCATCAACAGCAGGGACAAATGGCATCTCCTTTGGCTGTAAAAAAAATGGGGGCATGCACCTGAGATCCATAACCCAAGCACGGTGTGTTATGCTTGCTATAACAATCATATTTATTGGCCTTTCAATGGTAGAATGTTTTATATATATCCCTCAACAGGGAGAGCTTCCTGTCAAATGACACAAGATTTAAAAGCAAATTGGTAAGTGATTCACTCCCAGGTTCCGTCAAACTAATGAGGGATGCACCAGCATTGCTCGGTAGCAAAGATGACCTTAAAAGTTGTAGCAGTAACAGGTGATATATATGTTCTGTGACTTCTGTTATATGATAATTTTCTTACTTTATAACTATCATATTCCCAGGTGCATAGATGATATTTTTGCAGAAGTTAGGTAATTCCCAGTAATGAATGTGACTTACTTCTGATCATGATCAGGGAGGGCATTGTTTCTGATGTTATGCCAAGAGCAGGCAAGTTGGCTGGAAATTTGCAGTCATTTCGGGAAGAAGTAAATAAAAGCAAGCCCATATTTCTACAAACCAGCATCTCAGCTAAAGATGTTGACATGTTGGGGTAAGGCAGCTAATGTTGACTTCTGTTACTCAAGTTGGCTGTTGGTGGTAGAGCTAGAAATAATTCACCAAAGTTTGATAATTAATTTATTTTTTTAGTAGATATCCAGATAATTATTTTGTTAATAAGATTTTGTGTGGCTGGCTTTGCTAACCTGCAGCACTATGAATTGAATTGGTGATGTTTGCCTATGCTTTTATTTAAATATTACCAAAAGAAGTTAAAAGCTTCAATTGAACAATTATGACAAATCAGCTAGGTCACATGTTAATATCCTGGGTTGAACAAGAAATTAATTGAAGAATGGTCTCAATAAATATTGGAGAATTAGTTAATGGAAGAATTTGAAGATGATGCCTCTTTATATGCATTTGGGTATCATTCCCTATAATCTCTTGAACTATGTAGTTCGTAATTTTGATATTTCTAAACACGGTTCTTTACCAATATGATAAAAAGAATTAAAAGATGTTTTCACTTCCATGGTCTTGACCAAGATCACAGACCAATTTTCTCATTGAAATTTAATAGTGGCTTAGTGTTCATCAAACTTATTTTCTCTTCTTCAGTGCCTAGATGTTTAGTTTACAATAGACTTTTTCCAGATCACTTGCTGTAGATTTTTTAATTTTTTAATAATTTAGCTAACCATTTAATTCAATGTATTGGACTCTAAAATTTACATCATTTTAGTTATCTTGATTGAAGATGTTAATGACACTAGAGATTATTTTTAGTTAGATTTTAAGCTTTCAAGAAGTCCTTCTGTGGGATTGTTGTACTGTTCGAGCATAATTTGCCATTCTTTGGGAACTTTTGCAGTTCTCAAGTTAGTCCTTCCTGCTTAACAGAGAAAACAGCTACAAAAATTACCCAGATGTCTGTAAATTGTCAAGCTGAAGCTTCATGCAAGGATTCTTCTCATAAATCAAGGACCACTTCCATAGAAGGAAATAAACCTTCATTTAAAATTTGCAAGATAACTCCTGCTCTTTCTAGCTTTAAGAAATTAAGGTCCGTTGTTGAGTGGAGTACTTCCTTCTTCTGTCTGTTGCTCTCTTTAAACTAATGTAGGGGCTTTGAATGACTTATTTGATATATCAGGAACGTTGGAACTAACAGAGCTCAAGAAACTTCTTTACGCCAAAAGGAAACAAACTCCTTGGTAAGCTCTGAACAAAGTATGGAGATGCAGGGCATTACAGCATCAAAGAATGACCATCTCACGGATAGTGGTGGCAACCAAAAGCCTTCAACCCAATTCTTGAAGAGGAAAACTATTGAGGTTTGACATCTTCGTAGACATTTTTCCTTCTGAAGATTGAAGGAAGAAATTTGCATTCAAATTATTTGACACCCACAACCTATGCTTTGGCTCTTTATTTTATTATTATTATTTAAAAAAAAAAAATGTCATATCTGCAAATGTCTTCATTTACTATCTCCTACTATATGTTTTTGGTGCATAATTCTCTCCCTTGGCCCATGCCCAGTTACATAACTGGAATGAGTTTTTTTGTTTCTTCAAAGGAAAAAAAATAAGAAAAAGAAAGAAGATAAAGACGAAAAATATATAAACAACTTCACAACTATAGTACTCTAATATGGAGATTTAATTCCTTTTGGTGTTGAAAATAATCATCTTAAACAAATTCTTAGAACATCTATAAGACTCAATTCCGCAGGTTTCTGAAGCAGATTTGACGTCCTTGAGGTCCCTTAAGCGTCTCTCTCAGTCTCCTAGTAAAAGCAGGTACTGCAGAACGAATTGATTGTTTTACTTTCTCTTTTTCTGATTGTTTGTACTTAAGCAACAAATTCTTTACTACTGCAGAAGTTCTAAAGAATCTTCAGAAGTTGTTGAACAGGTACAAGATCAAAGCTTGGGGATTATTTTATATGTTGTGTTGTCATATATTTTGATGATTACTGACAAATGCAAGGAGGCTTGGGGATATTTAAGAGCGGAAGTTGTCAAAACTAGTTTCTTTTTCTTTATAATTTACTCAAATTTAATTCCATGAAAGTCAGGTAGAGAGTAAGCCCAACAACATACTCTACAATCATTCAACCTCTGGACTTGAAAGTCCCTCAGAGATTAAAGTGATGGAAGTGGAAATACCTGATTCTGTACTCATGGAAGATAACAGTAATGTTGAAAAGGCTGAAGCATATATGAAGGAACTTGAAGATGTGAGTGATCTAAAATTTTTTCATCTATGAAGGACTTGTTTATAAGTTTTATTGTCAAAAATTATTGAATTTACTGGGTTGTCAAAATCTTACATAAGTATATTTGAGCATTAGACCTAATGTTGAAAAATAGATGATGGTCTGCTGGTCATTTGGAAAGAGATTTTAATGCATGGTAGTAGTTGTCTTTTGCCATCACGTATAATTTGAGACATCTGAAATAGTTTCATAAAATTCAGCAAGTTTAGTCCAGTTGCTAAAGAAACATGCTACTTGTTAAACATTTTTTATTTACTAATTTTAGTACTATGAACATCTCCTGTGCTTTCAATGCTAGTCCCACCAAAATAATCTTATGCTCAAATTTTTTGTTACTGTGACCCTATTGTTTACTTTACTTTAATCACTATATAAGATATTTTGAATACCAAACCTTAAATTCAGATAAGTGAGTAAACATTAAAGATGGGCTTTTGTTTCTCCTGAATAAAACAACACAACACAATTTCAAAGACTGCTTTTGAATTGTGGGTTGGAGAGGAAGCTACTCTAAGACACCTGCTTTGAAGTGGCTAGATATACATTGGATATTACAATCCAAAAAAGAAAAAAGGGAAATTGGATGCAAGAACAATTGGGGGTTATTTCATTAGTTATGCAAAAAAGTCAAAAGGGGTATAGATTTTATTGTCCTAACCATATTACAAAAATTAGAGAGTACAAGTTCCTTTAAGTTATATCTCTAAAATGGCTGTTGTTTTTCAAATTGTTGACCAATTAATAATCATGAAGAACAACAAATAAATATTTCCATTACTCACAAAAAAGTTGTAATAAATAAGCTTGTAGCAAATTACCAAAAATAATAATAATAATAATAATCTTATAGCAGAAGAACCATAAGAAATAGTATTACTTGGACCATATTTGCAATTTATTTGCATACTAGAAAAAATAAAAAATTAAGAATATCTCTCAGAGAAATGGGATATGTTATTTATGATGATTATGTGGTATATTTACTAAATTTTGAAATTGACTTAAGAATAGAAAATAACCCAATTAAATTTTCACAAGTCATAAATAATGATAATGCGGATAAATGGTTTAAGAAATGGGAAACATGTGTGTATGACAAAATATGTAGTTTGATAATTAAGTGAAGGGCTAAATGGTTATTGGTAACGTGACTCTTGGGAAGAGGTTTTGTAACCTCCTAGATTGATGGGAGCACTTTTAGAAAATAAAAGGAAAGGAAACCAATCCCTAACTATACCTAGACAAATTAGGTTTTGTTTTCCCATCAAGAACGGAGCGTAGGAAAAAGAGATAGACAACAGTTTATATCAAGGTATGTGGTTTTGGAATTGATTGAAGAAGATCATTGGAAACTACAACTTAAAGAAACAATATTAGGACAAATGCCTACTTTGACCTGAGACTGATCAAGCTGCACGCATGGAAGGATACTTTTATCTTCGTTTCCAGAGCCATTTGTTGTTCCTAATTCACAGTACTTGTTGTTTATGGCTTTATGCAAGCAAACCTAATTACCTAATTATTTCCTCACTTAAACGGTAGTTATATACACTTGCAAGTTGCAATGGTTTTCAAATGGAATATAATTCTTATCATATTTAATGGTGGTGAATGGGTCCTTTCCTTCCATGCATTCATGTTATTGGAATAAGAAAAAAGAAAAGAAAACAGCGCCTGATGGTTTTCTTTTAAAACGTGATTTCTTGCAGATTTGTAACATGTTGAAAAAGAAGCACGAGGAAGCAAAAGAATTATTAGTTCGGGCCATTGTGAACGACAATAACTTGCTGATGCTTAATCATCCCATTTATGAAGAAGAAATATCCTCCCATTCTTCCTGTCATTTCCTCCTTGTCATTTAATTAAAGATATTAAAGTTGGTTATTTCCTTAACATGTGTGAACATTCGGAAGGTTCAGAAATTTGCTTCCCAATTGATGTCTTAAGGGGATTCAAACTTGATCGGCAGCAAATTGCTGCATTCGAAGGTACGGAAGATACATATTTCTTGGTCTGCAATGTAGCTTATTCTGCACTATAAAATTTGTCAGGTTATTTGTCACCATTCGAATTCAAGGACCGAATACTTTTATTCCTTCAGTGTTATCTGGACTTGAAAAACCTCTTGCCATTTTTCGTAAGATGAGAAATTGTTCAAAATTTGCCATTTCATGGGCTGTGTTTAGCCATCACTTTGGTTATTAAGGTTTTAAGTTTGTACGAAGTCCATTGTGAATTGTGATGCAGGCCTCAAGACCATTGTGACCCTTAATTGTCGTCTTGTTTATGCGTTGATTAACTTAACAAACATAGGTTATTAGCTACGCACCAAAAAAAATTAGCTTTTCAGCCAAAGCCTAGGCCAGGACCTTCTAAGTGCTCCCTTCGCCCGGAGGGGATGGCGCGGGGTGGTTTCTTTTGATTTTGCGTGTCTTAGAAAATTCATAGTGTAAGACTATAGGTCTTGAGAATCCATGGTGAGGTAAAATTAACGGTTTATATGTACAAAGCTAAAGTTTGGACTCTGTTGTTATAAGAAGTTATACATGATAATCGAGAATCATCTATGATTTTTCTTCCTTAGACAAAGTCAATCCAATTAGCGGAAAGAGAGCATGATTCTCGTATTTTTTCAGATAAAAGCAGATTTTGCAACTATATTGTTTCTAAGGATAGGTCATACTTATCACATTTTTTTCTTACCAGTACTTTGTTATGATTGAACCAAAATCATTTTCCAAAACAGAGTTCCGAGAAACAGAGCGAGGCTTCTGTTTATCTAGCTTGACACCGCCACCTAATTCCGAGCTCTACCCTACACATACGATGCACCTTCATCTACTTTTGTTCCATCTTTCTGCCTTTTCACTATTTGGCCTACAAGAAGGAAATTGAATCACCAAGCAGTTAGTGAGCATGCATGTTTATTAGCTCCATATAAACACCACAAAAAACATAATATAAACAGTTATGGATTTGGATCCTTTCATGTAAAAAAAGTAGTCATGTGATCATATTATTTGATAATAACTATTCATTTAAAAATTATTCACTTTTTTCTCTCTTATCTCATCATCAATGAGTGATTGTGATCAAATAATATGATCATATAATCACTTTTTCACATAAGAGGATCCAAATCCAACAACTACATAGCAAGCATGCATGTTAGTTATCTCCAAAATAAGGTTGACACATTAGTCATGATGGCGAGACTCTTTAAAGGTCGGAAGACAACACGGTGAGAGGACGAGATACTCGGTTCAGACTAGGCTTTTTCCTTTTTTCGCGTACGACATAGCAACACACTCATTAGGCAACAAATTGGCACTAGGGACTTGAATGACGTCGTTGAGGATCGAATACAACAATTTTGGCTCTACTATAGATCCGAGATATATCCATTTAGCACATTTGTCCAAACAGAGACTTGAATATATTTAACGTACAAGAACAATAAAAGCTTTTGACGATTAGCTGGAAGTGCTCATAAAGATACAAAAACAAATTGCACGACAGACTCAGACAAATGTTTTAATGTCATTGAACTTCCACTTGGATTACTATAACAAAAAATAATGACTAGAGCACCTGATGCTTATATATATATATATGTTACCCTCTTCGTCTGGATATAGCAAGTCTGTCTAGCATTTTTTTTAAACCTTAAAAGGAGGGGGAAATGGCGAGTCTAAGTTTCTGTTTCTCCACTTTCCTGCTGTTGTTTTTGTTCTCCGTGTCCGAGACTCGGCCGCTGGTAAATCATGGTGCATTTTCTTCTCATTTCCCCCCTAGCTCTCTCTTCCTTAGCACTGTCGAGCACTACCTTCATCCAGGATCAGAAGGCAGAAGCCTAGCCAAGATAGATAGTAAAATATTAGACAAAAATGCCAAGTTCCCTTTCAGCGTTGAATTGAGGAATCGAAGAGCAACAAGAAGCCAGTACTACCAACCCCGTCGAGTGAGTCCAGGAGGCCCAGATGCGCACCATCACTTCAAAACAACCGTTAGTGGAGGACATTGGAGGTAGATCTACTTGTGTCCAAGAAAAAAAAAAGGACAAAAAATATGTTTATCTTATTTTTTAAAAGCTACTAGGATTGGTCTAGTGGCAAGGAGTTTGAGTAATTTGTATTAGGTTATGTGTTCAATTTCTATTATTGTATATAAGTAAAAAAATTATGAGGTAACGGTTTATATATGATTGAAATAAAAAATATCCTTTCATGTCAGCAAGATGTGAGCAGCATGTTATAAAAAATGTAACATTATCAATAAAAAGGTCAAAGGAATAACAGAGATATTTCTTTTTATTTTTAAAGTTGGGATCACAGTCAGCGACGATGATTACGTAACTACCGATCGGAAAAATAATAGTGACAAAATGTTATGCCGACTATCGAAGTCATTTTTTTATGGCTATACGATGAATTAATGAGGGAACACACGAATGCATATACTTGAGGCTTATTGATGTAAGAAACAACTACTGGTACTACAATGCCTTTAAAAATCGTCTCAATATAGCGATTATAAATGGGAAATGTGTTTAGAGAATTTCTCACATACAACACACAAAAAGTATGAGATACTTACCTTTTTCTTTTTTCTCTTTTTTTCAAAATGGATCCTATTTATTTTTGTGTGTATTACATGAGATAAAGAGATAAATTCTCTCATGCAACATGAGAAAAATCAATCCCATTATAAATATATGCACGAACTCAATTCAAAATTCATTTATGTCCACGTGATCGAAATTTTAAGAGAAATAATTTTAATTGTCTAAGTCCAGCATGATTTAATTATTTAATGTTGATCGGTCCAATACAATATGGGTTGACCAATGTGTATCGAGCCTAATCACATACGGTTGAAGAGAAAAGACTTTCAGTTGGGTTATCTACTTCTTGGGCTGATGATGGCTGTTAAGTAAGAGGTCAATATGGTTCTCCTTTGGC